TTTGTACAGCCACCTTGTCCACCTTCTTCGCCGCAGAAAGCCAGTTTGCCTTGAACTGCTGCCCGCCCTTAGCAGTTTTTTTGGTCTTCTTTAGGTTCCGCTTGACAATAGCCCAGTATTTCTCAATTGGGCGGAGCTCTGGCGTGTTGGGAGGGTTCTTGTCCTTGGGAACCACCTGCACGTTGTTGGCGGCGTACCACTCCATGGCCTTTTTACCGTAATGGCAAGATGCCAAATCCGGCCAAAACAGTACGGAACAACCGTGTTTCTTCAGGAAAGGCAGCAGACGTTTATTCAAACACTCTTTCACGTAAATTTCTTGGTTGACAGTCCCGGAAGCTATGAAAATGCTGCTTTTCAAGCCACAGGTACAGATGGCTTGCCAAACCAGATATTTCTTTGCGGACTTTGACAGTTTCATGTGCTTGAAAACATCTGCTACCTTTCCCCTTCCTTTTGCCGTATAAAACTCCTGTCCCGGAAGCTGCTTGTAGTCGGCTTTGACGTAGGTTTCGTCGTCCATTACCACGCAGTCAAACTTCGTCAGCATCGTCGTCTACAGCCTCCGGGATCGCGCTTTGGCCGTCGTATTTTGTTTATCATCGTGATTTGGAGTCACTACCTTCTTGTAAGTCGATAGTCCGGCTCGTTTTTTGGCTCGATGCACGGTTGTAGACGATACACCCAGCTTATTTGCGGCATCTCGGAGAGAGAGGTTAGGGTTTCGCTTGAAAATACTAGGAAACATATAATGATATTCAACTTCTCCAAAGCGTAATATTCAGTACGGTCGGCTTTTCTCGCGCTCCGTTGTTTTGGAAGTTTTCTACACTGAGGAAACTATCCCTTCTATTTTCATAAGCTGCATCGTATGAACACATACAAATATGCGCTCTATCCAATTTCATAGGTATCGTATGAATTCATACTCCATCTATAGCATTTATAGATCGATACAACAAAAGGTACACGAAAAATATTTGAATTCCATAAATCCAGGATAGAAAACTCGTGAAATTAATTGAATGAAATACGATATATCCAATAAATTAAAAATGTACGACGTACGAAATCAATCCATCATTTGTTTGTATTTAAATTCATAGTTGTAAACGTGTAAAATCATACGATGGCTGGTTGAAAACATCTGACAGTTTTTCATAGTCCGATCGTATGAAATCCAACATAAAATCTTGTCGCAAAAAACCATACGATATTTCTATGAAATCTGATGGAATAATATTCTCAGTGTAGCTATTCGCTGGTGTATATTATCAGTTTTTTCTCACTAAGTTTTTCCTGGCAAATTAATTTGAAAGTGAGTTAATTTCTGAGAAGAAGTGTGGTTTTCGGCATCATTGGAAGATAAGAATAATCCGTGCGATTGGAAGTTCGCAAACCAATTAGTGCATCATCGCTGCGTGGTCACGCATACCTGCTCACGTATCATCATCATCGAGTGTGAGCACGCGTTTCTACATCTTCATCGTTCATCAATCGTCGTGCGCCTGTGTGCCTCGATCAAGTGCACCACACGAAGGTCATCCACGCTGCGCGTCGCTTCCCAGCCATCTGTGTAAACGCCTACACTAACGCTCGGTGGTAGTTGTATAGAATTATCAGATAAGTTTTTGTTTTTTTTTTTGTTTCTTTTCCTCCCATTAGTTAAATTTTCATTTTGTGTTTCTGTGTTTGTAGTGTTTTCTGTATATTGTGTCTGTGGATTTTTAATATCGTTTCAGTGGTAGAGCGTTTTGCGCTCCCACTAGTACGACAAAATGGAGGTTTTGTCAGAAGACGACATGGATGATCGATCATCTCAGATTTGATGATGTCATCCCTGGTTCATCGTTTGTGTCTGTCAATGGGCAGGCTAAGAAAAGCTCCCGATCACGGGCCTATCCGAATGACTCGACTGGTCCATGGGTTGTCTACTTTCAGCCCAAAAACAAACCTTTGAAAGTGGTACAAATTTCAAATGATTTGACGAAGCGATTCTCGGCCGTAACCGAAATCACGAAGGTTAGGCACAATAAACTTCGTGTGTCCGTCTCTAACCTGAAGCAAGCTAATGAGATTGCTGTCTCCCAGCTCTTTACGCTCGAGTATAAGGTTTACGTCCCAGCTCGTGATGTGGAGATAGAAGATATGGTCACCGAAGCGAGTCTGACCCCCGAGATCTTGGGAAAGCAGGCGGTTGGCCGTTTTAAGAACCCTTCGCTTCCCCCGGTGAAGATACTGTATGTCCAAAAACTGGGCTCAGTATCTGTCAGAGAGGGTAAAAAGAGCTTTACCCCCACAGACTCGTCTCGTGTGACCTTTTCTGGTTCAGCCCTTCCTCACTACATCGAGCTGGGAAAACCTGTGCGCTTGTTCGTTCCCTGGGTCATGAACTGCCAAAACTGTAAGCAGTTGCGACATGCGGCCTCCCACTGTGGCAGCAAGGTACGCTGTTCCAAATGCGGGGAGAAGCATGGGGATGACACCTGGGCAGCTACCGCACCAAAATGCGTGTACTGCAAAGAATCTCCTTCTCATGGTCTCTCGTCGTGCCCGGTTTTTTTTTTTTTTTTTTTCTTTATTATAGAGATTTTTAGCCTGAGGCTAGTTCATCTCTTCGTCGTGCCCGGTGTACAAACAACGCGGGGAGAAACTACAACGTTCACTTAAGGAACGTTCCCGGCAGTCTTTTGCTGAAATGCTTAAGACAGCCACGCCATCGACCAACGAAAAAAAAAATATCTTTTCTCTCTTGTCAGATGACAAGACTGACTGCGACTTGGCTGAGGAGGGAACTTCTTTCAGTTTTCCGGAAGGTTCTGCACGGAAACGAAAGCGCATCCGTTCGCGGAAAGTTGCAAATGAAGAACCCCAAATCAGCCTGCCCAAATCAAGGAGTGGTGGAACAAAGGAGACTTCTACTCCTCCTGGATTCCGCAGAACTGACTACACCTCTCCCGGGGACATCAAAAACCCCCGATGCCCCAATTTTCAGAACAGAAGCACCTTCTTCATCTGGGTTTTTCTCATTTGATATCATTGTGGACGGTATCCTCAAGTATCTCGATATTTCTGATCCTCTGAAAAGCATTGTTCTGGCAATGCTTCCTACTGTGAAGACCTTCTTGAAGCAATTGACATTGAAGTGACCCCTCCTTGCAGCAATCATTTCCTTCGATGGATAATTTTCCAAACGAGGTCGGGGATTTGATCACTGTTCTATAGTGGAATTGTCGAAGTCTTATTCCTTAATTAGAATCGTTTAAGTTTTTAGGTCACAATAATGATTGTGATGCATTTGCTCTTTGTGAAACTTGGCTCTCTTCAGATATCGATCTTCCTTTTTATGATTTCAATATTATTCGACTGGATCGTGAGGAGAAGGGGTGCTTTTGGGGATCAAAAAGTGCCATTCCTTCTATAAAGTGAATCTCCCACTATTTACAGGTATTGAAGTTGTCGCATGTCAGGCTATTATTAAAGGTAAGAGCCTTTGTATTGCTTCTGTTAATATCCCTCCTAGAGCCGTTGTTAATCGAAAACAACTTTCAGATATATGTTCAGTACTTCCTGCTCCACGGTTGGTCATGGGAGATTTTAATTCCCACGGTACAGGCTGGGGGGAACTGTATGATGACAACCGTTCTATTTTGATATATGACCTCTGTGACAACTTCAATATGTCAATTCTTAATAATGGAGAAGTAACACGTTTGGCTGGTCCATCCTCCAATGGAAGTAAATTAGACCTCAAACTTTGCTCTAACTCATTATCGTTGGATTGCACGTGGAATGCGATCCAGGATCCCCACGGTAGTGATCACTTGCCGATCAAAATTTCGATTGTCAGTAGGTTCAACCCGTCGGAATCCGTTAACATCGCGTACGACTTCACTCGTAATATCGATTGAACAACGTTCAAGACCGCGATAGATGAAGCCCTAAAATCGGTAGAAAAGTTTCCACCGTTGGAGGAATATAACTTCCTTTCCAATCTGATCTTGAACAGCGCGCTTCGAGCTCAAACTCGGCCGGTTCCAGGAACGTCTTTCCGTAGGAAACCTCCTTCCCCTTGGTGGGACCAGCAATGCACTGTGGTTTATCGTAAAAAGTCCGATGCGTTTAAGCTTTTCCGGAAACGCGGAACACCCGAGCATTTTGAGGCGTACTCGACTCTTGAACGCGAACTCAAGAGCCTCATCAAAGCCAAGAAACGCGGTTACTGGCGGCAATTCGTGGACGGATTATCGCGCGAAACGTCGATGAATACGCTTTGGAGACGGCGCGAAGGATGCGTAACCGGTCTTCAAACAACGAGAGCGAGGAGTACTCGGATTGTTGGATTCTCAAGTTCGCACGAAAAGTATCTCCTGATTCCGTGCCGGCACAGATGATACCTCGCAAAACGACGAAATCGGTAGACGAGATCAACCAGCCTTTTACAATGCTGGAGCTCTCACTCGCGCTCCTTTTGTATCGTAATTCGGCTCCGGGGGCTGATAGGATGAAGTTCGACTTGTTGAAGAACCTCCCAGACGTCGCTAAGAGGCGCATGTTTTGAACTTGTTTTGTCAGTTCCTGAAGCTCAATATTGTTCCGGATGATTGGAGGCTAGTGAGAGTTATAGCCATTAAAAAGCCTGGGAAACCCTTGGCTTTGGCTAAAAAAGAACAAATGGCTTCTGGAGTGGCCAGAGCCCGAAAAAAACACGGAAAACCCGGGAAATTACGTTCGGAAAAAACGAGTGAAAAGACGCGTGTAGATTAGTTCAACGATACAGTTCAATTAATTTTTATTGATACAATGCATTTTCATTTTGTGTTGGGGGAAAGGAGATGACATGATTTGCAGCGAAAGGAAAAGATAGTCATCTATCAAAGACTGACAATTAGAGGTATATTGGATGCTGCATGAGAACAACTGTTCACATCTCAGTTGGTAGGGTAACGTCCACAGATGTCGCGCGAACATAATCCGCCCACCAAATTCCTCACAGGAATTTATGATTGAAGTCTTCTTGGAGCATACTCATCCGCATCCAATGGTATAGTTCGTACCTTCCTAACATCACGCCGAGTAGTACCAGTTGCTGTTCTTACTGATACCACTCTCGTTAATCCATCTGGTCCTGGGAAGGTTTCGACGATTCTGCCAGTAGGCCATTGTCTTGGCTTCGAATTGTCGTCCACTAGCAAAACGAAGTCGCCGACCGAAATATTGTGCGATGATCGTTGCCACTTCGTCATCCGCTGCAAAGATCGTACGTATTCTGTCTGCCATCTGCTGCGAAATTCTTGCGAGAGGCGCTGGACAAACTGCCAGCGTGACATCGAGGAAATTTGCCGTTCCAGCAAGTTGACTTCGGGAACGGTGGTGAGCGCCCGACCGATGAGAAGATGAGCAGGAGTGAGAGCTTGATCATCCATCGGACTATTGGAGATCGGCGTGAGTGGCCTCGAGTTCATGGTGGCAGCAACTTGAGCGATCAGCGTGGAAAGTTCTTCGAAGGTAAAGATGTAGCTGCTGGTGATCTTCGAAAGATGTTGCTTAGCAACCTTGATTGCTGACTCCCATAATCCTCCATGGTGCGGAGACCGAGCTGGGATGAAGTTCCATTCCACTCCCTTATCGGTCAGATAATCGGCCACTTCATTGTTGTGTGCAGAAGAGTTGATTTGCGCATACGTTTCTCGAAAGTGCTTAGCTGTGGCTCGGAAATTTGTTGCGTTGTCCGAGAACATTTTTGCTGGCAAACCGTAGTGGCTGGAGAATCGAGTGAATGCTGCCAGGAACGCGACAGTAGTAAGCTCCGACACAGCTTCCATGTGTACGGCCTTTGTTGTGAAACAAACGAAGAGAGCAATGTACCCTTTGCTTTGCTTCGCACCTCTGGTCCTTCGTCCAACAATGCTGACTGGACCAGCATAGTCCACGCCAGTGACCGCAAATGGTGGATTTGGTTGAACTCGATCCGATGGCAGTTGACCCATTTGTTGATACTTAGGTGTGGACTTGGCACGTGCACACGTCACACACTGGCGATAAACCTTCCTTGCTGCACTTGAACCACTTATGATCCAAAATCGTCTGCGGGATACGGCTAACAGTGTTGGCCCGCAGTGGTGATGGACGATGTGGTCGTGGTTTAACAGAAACGAGGTGAGAATAGAGTGGCGAGGTATCAATATAGGATGTCGAACGTCGTAGCTGAGGCTTGACTGTTGTAACCTTCCGCCCACCCTGAGCACACCCTCTTCGTCCAGGAACGGTTTGAGTTGGTGCAAACTGCTGTGAGAGCTAACTTCTACTTGCTGTCGAAGTCGATCCAGCTCTTCACGAAAGTATTGTTGCTGAACGTGGCGAATGTATATTGTTTGTGCTCGATCAAGCTCGCGTGGTAACAGACGAGCAATCAATCGAGAGTCAGGAGATCGAAACCGAAGAATACGAGCAGTGACGCGAAGCAGCATCGTGAGATCGGGATAATATCGTGCCATCATCCCATCGAGAAAGTCGTTTTCGTAGACGGTGATAAGAGAAACGGCTACTGCTCTTTGCTCCCTAACAATATGCTGTTGGTCAGTGTTGGTCAGTACAGGGATGTCGGTTAATTCACCTCGCTCACCTATTGTGTTCCATGCGGGACCATTCCACCACAGAGTGTTATGTTGGATTTGTTCTGGCGACACCCCGCGCGAAATAAGATCAGCAGGGTTTTGTTCCGACACGATGTGGCTCCAATTGATTGCTGGTACGTGCGTTGTGATTTCTGCGACGCGATTGGCAACAAAGGTTTTCCAGCGAGAAGCACCTCCGTTCAACCAAGCAAGCACAACACTTGAATCTACCCAAGCTCGTATCTCGAAGAAGGGTTGATTGATGGCACTTGTTACGTTGTTGATCAGCCGTGCGAGGATCACTGCAGCACATAACTCCAAACGTGGCAGCGTCGTGCGTTTATTTCCAATTGGCGCAACCTTGGACTTCGCGCAGAGAAGATGGGAACTGTGATTCCCAGCGTCGTCGACCGCTCGGATGTAAAGGGTGATACGGTCAAAATTTGGTCAAGGGAAAACGCGTGTAAATCGGTGAAATCGTTTATTTAAAAAATCAAATTAAATTTCTTTTTCAAGTTCAATTAGTATAAAATTCAGGAAAAATATTCAGTTAGGCTTCCGCTTTTCCAAATCCGAATTGCCGGGCCTTACGCTTGACCCCTGCCATCAGATTTTGTACAGCCACCTTGTCCACCTTCTTCGCCGCAGAAAGCCAGTTTGCCTTGAACTGCTGCTCGCCCTTAGCAGTTTTTTTGGTCTTCTTTAGGTTCCGCTTGACAATAGCCCAGTATTTCTCAATTGGGCGGAGCTCTGGCGTGTTGGGAGGGTTCTTGTCCTTGGGAACCACCTGCACGTTGTTGGCGGCGTACCACTCCATGGCCTTTTTACCGTAATGGCAAGATGCCAAATCCGGCCAAAACAGTACGGAACAACCGTGTTTCTTCAGGAAAGGCAGCAGACGTTTATTCAAACACTCTTTCACGTAAATTTCTTGGTTGACAGTCCCGGAAGCTATGAAAATGCTGCTTTTCAAGCCACAGGTACAGATGGCTTGCCAAACCAGATATTTCTTTGCGAACTTTGACAGTTTCATGTGCTTGAAAACATCTGCTACCTTTCCCCTTCCTTTTGCCGTATAAAACTCCTGTCCCGGAAGCTGCTTGTAGTCGGCTTTGACGTAGGTTTCGTCGTCCATTACCACGCAGTCAAACTTCGTCAGCATCGTCGTGTACAGCCTCCGGGATCGCGCTTTGGCCGTCGTATTTTGTTTATCATCGCGATTTGGAGTCACTACCTTCTTGTAAGTCGATAGTCCGGCTCGTTTTTTGGCTCGATGCACGGTTGTAGACGATACACCCAGCTTATTTGCGGCATCTCGGAGAGAGAGGTTAGGGTTTCGCTTGAAACTACCGGCAACTCTCTTTGTCGTCTCAGCAGCTTCCGGTTTTCGATTTCCCCCCGATCCAGACTTCCTGGCTGTCGACAAACGTTCCCCAAACACTTTAATTACATTTGTAACGGTTGATTTGGCAACTTTTAGCGATTTTGCCAACTTTGCGTGCGAGTAGCTCGGATTTTCGCGATGCGCGAGCAAAATTTTGATACGCTGCTTTTCTTGCTTGGATGGCATTTTGACAACTGAAGAGTGAATTCCAAAATCAAAATAGGAGCAACATTCTACACACACACACCTTCAAAATGAGGGGTGTTCAGGTTTTTTAAATGCAAAATTGAAAGAAATACGTCAAGTTGATATTGACCAAATTTTGACCGTATCACCCTTTATATGCAGGCACCCATGGCTCGCTCGGATGCATCACTGTAGCCGTGCAGGAAGATTCGCGACGTCTTGTTAGTGCCGATAACTCGTCTCGGAATCTGAAAAGAGTTGAGAAGGGCCAGACCTTGCACGAAAACTTGCCATATATTAGTCAACTCACTGGGGGGAATAGCATCCCAGTCCACCTTCAGCTCCCACAAATGTTGCATCAGTAGCTTCGCTTTGATGATAATAGGTGCGAGCAGACCAAGTGGGTCGAAAAGACTAGCGATGTTGGAGAGAATGATGCGCTTTGTGGGATGAAGGATCTTGGTTGGTTGGACGCTAAACAGGAATTCGTCGCTGCACGGCTGCCAGTGAATCCCGAGGGCTTTGATGGTGTTGGGTTCATTGAGCCCGATGGGAATTTTCATTTCGAGGTCCGCTTCAGGAACACCTTCCAGGGCTTCGGTGCTATTAGAAGCCCACTTCCGCAGGTGGAATCCTCCGGCAGAGAAGATGATGGAAAGTTCTTGTCGAAGATGCTTGGCTTCATCAGCAGAATCAGCACCCGTCAGCACGTCGTCGACGTAAATCCCCTTAATAGCTTTCTTGACTGCATCTGGAAATTGCCTTTGATGGGAGAGCAGCAGCTGCTGCACACATTTTGTCGCCAGATACGAAGCGCTCTTGGTACCGTAAGTAACGGTATTCAGGCAATATTCCAGGATCGGTTCGTCCTCTGACCAGCGCCACAAGATTCGGATGTAGTTTCGATCTTCGTCGTACAGCAGCACCATTCGATACATCTGCTTGACATCACCAGCGAGTACCACTGGGGGAAACCGGAATCGAAGTAAGATATTGACCAAAGAATCCTGCAATACAGGGCCCGCTGGAAGGATGTCGTTGAGAGACTTGCCGCTACTTGTTTTTGCTGAAGCGTCGAAAACCACTCTGCACTTCGTCGTCGAGCTATCTTCCTTTACGACGCAATGGTGTGGGAGGAAAACACAATTCTCCGAAGCTGGTGTAGTGGCAAGACTCATATGCCCGAGGTCGATGTACTCTCGCATAAAGGAATGGTACTGTTCTTTTAAATTAGGACTCCTTTCCAATTTGCGCTCTAGATGCAGCAGTCTCTTCTCAGCAATTTCCCTCGATTTTCCGAGAGAAGTAGGGCTCTCCAAGTACGGGAGCCGAACGATAAATTTTCCGGAACTATCGCGAATCGTGTGCTTTGTGAAATGCTCTTCGCATCGAATCTCTTCTTCGTTGAAGTGTGGAGATGTATTCGTGTACTCCTCCAGTTCCCAGAATTTGCGAAGTTGATCAGAGAGAGGATCAGTGGAAGCCGTCAGTAAGCACGAAGGAGCATTAGTGCGTGGTTGATTGTCACAGTTTTTGTAGCCACCAGAAACCACCCAACCTAGCTTCGTGTTCTGTAGTACAGGAAGGCAGTCGTCCGAACCAAGTTTGATGTTTCCCGGCTCGAGAAGCTGGAAGAAAAGCTTGTTGCCGAGAAGGATGCTGATTTTTCCTGGATGGTGAAATTGGGGATCAGCCAACGGAATCGATCCAGGAATTGGCCAATCTGCGATATTGATCGGCTTTAGTGGGAGCTCGGAAGTAAGTCGCTCCAGAATAATGCACGGCACTACATTTCGATAGTCCGAGCAACGTGACGCGAATGTAACTAGTGCTCCACGATTTGCGTGACCGTGAGATTCTGCAATTCCACCATATTCAAAATCCACTTCCGTGGTTGAGAGACCCAACTTCTTGCACAAATCCGCAGTAATGTAGCTTGTGTGGGATGCGCAATCAAGAACTGCTCGGCAGGTATGCGAGCGCCCGAACTTATCGATGACGTTGATAGTAGCGGTTAAGAGTAGAACGTTGGTGTCCGTCAAATCGGTAGCCAGGCTTAGGGGCGAAATGAGCATTTGCGACATTGAAGACGAACCAGATGAATTGGTTGTGGTCGCTGTACTGCTTACTAGCGTTGAAGATGCTGGCGGTTGGAGTGCCTCGTGGAGACGAGTATGATGTGGATGATTACATATCCGACAATTGCCGGACTGGCAAGGTTCACCGGAATGCTGCTTTAGGCAGTTCTCACAGAGTTCATGCCTACGGATAAAACGGAGTCGATCATCGGAACTGACGTGTAGAAACTTACCACACTGATACAGTTGATGCGGTGATTTTGCACAAAAAACGCACATTGGTGACGGAGAATGATACCCGGTGGTGACGAGAGCTGTTGGTCCCCGGGTAGGAGGTTTGCTTGGAAGTGGTGTGATGAACGATTTCTTCTGGCGGATCGGTTGAACGGATTTCAGTGCACAGCTTTGCGCATCAACAAACTTCAGGAACTTCTCCAAGGTAACTTCATCGTCGTTTAGCTCCGACCTTTTCTGACACCACAACTGCTTGCTTTCAGGATCTAGTTTCTCTGCTAAGATGTACAGCAACCATATGTCCCTTCCTTCCTGATTCATGGCCTCCAATGCTCGTATCACTTCATCGGACAGATCATGCAGGGAGCGCAAACCAGCTGCGGACGGTGACGTCATTGAAGGTTGATTTAAGAAGCGATGAATGTGCTGTGCTCTGATTTCGAGTGGTTTGTTGTATCTAGCCTTCAGCTTAGCTAGAGCGGGAGCGTAGTTAGCGTCTTCTATGCGAAGGTGCGATATCAGAGCGGCGGCTTCTCCGACGAGATTGGTCTTGAGGAAGTAGAGCTTCTGACTATCTTGTAGCGCCACGTTCTTGTGTACCGCACTGTCGAACAGGTCGAAAAACGAAGGCCATTCGAGGAGGTCACCTCCGAACGTAGGGAGATTCATGCGAGGGAGCTTGACATCAATGTGTGGAGAAGCATTATGGGCGACAACCGTTGAACTGCTGCTTGCGTTGGCCGCCGTGTTGAAGCTGGTAGAAATCAGTCGAATGAATTCTGCCTGTTGCTGTGCCAGTTGTTGAATGGCAGCGCCGCCATCTTGTGATGCTGCCTCGTGGCGGGTAGAAGAAAAATCGAACCTTTTCCGAAGTTTTAATAGGCTACCTTTCAGCGGAACGAAATTACCCTCGAATTCAGCCTGATGACTCACGATTTCATCCATCTCCTCATCCTTGCAGCTGTCTACCATTCGCTTATGGACCGAAAGATAGGCCGACCAAATTTCTAGGAGGTTATCCAGCTCGGTCTGGATGTCGACGTCATCTATGTCATCCCTCTTCTGGAGCTTGTGAACATTTTGCGATGCTCGGTTTAATCGCGCTTCTAGCGATTTCCTCTCGCGAATAAGTTTGTCCATGGTGAGTTCACTAAATGTTCGTTAAACTTCAATTTCACCCACTTTCACCGAGAATGTTCTTTTCGGAGGTGATATTCCAACCTCACTCTAGCACTCACTTTCGCGAATCGTGACACGGTGACGAAAGCGGATAAAAACGCACTTTTTGTTCACCTTCGGTCCGATCCGGCTCGAAGGACCATTTTCTGGAGTGGCCAGAGCCCGAAAAAAACACGGAAAACCCGGGAAATTACGTTCGGAAAAAAACGAGTGAAAAGACGCGTGTAGATTAGTTCAGCGATACAGTTCAATTAATTTTTATTGATACAATGCATTTTCATTTTGTGTTGGGGGAAAGGAGATGACATGATTTGCAGCGAAAGGAAAAGATAGTCATCTATCAAAGACTGACAATTAGAGGTATATTGGATGCTGCATGAGAACAACTGTTCACATCTCAGTTGGTAAGGTAACGTCCACAGATGTCGCGCGAACAGCTTATGTGATATTGGATATTAAGGGGGCTTTTGATTCAGTATCGGTTGAAGTCCTTTCAGACAAACTCCACGCTTGTGACCTTTCTCCATTAATTAATAACTTTTTGTACAATTTGCTGTCAGAGAAACATATGAGCTTTTCTCATGAAAACTCTACAGCTTCACGATTTAGCTACATGGGTCTCTCCCAGGGCTCATGTTTAAGCCCCCTTTTGTATAATTTCTACGTCAGAGAAATTGTCAATTGTCTAAGTGGCAACTGCACGTTGAGACAACTTGCTGATGACTGAGTAGTGTCTATGACAGGGCCCAGAGAGGCCGACCTGCAGGATGCCTTAGACAATTTGTCTACTTGGGCTATCCAGCTAGGTATCGAATTCTCCACGGAGAAAACTGACTTGGTCGTTTTTACTAGGAAGCATAGCCCAGCACAACCGAAGCTTCAACTTTTGGGTAAGCTGATCACTCATTATATGTCCTTCAAATATCTTGGGGTTGGTTCGATTCCAAATGCACCTGGAGATCCCACATTGAGTATCTGAAGCGGAAATGCCAACAAAGGATCAATTTTCTCCGTAGAATTACCGGAACGTGGTTTGGAGCTCATCCGCAAGATCTTCTAACGTTCTACCGGACAACGATTTTATCGGTTTTAGAGTACGGTAGTTTCTGCTTCCAGTCGGCGGCCAAAACTCACATCATCAAACTGGAACGTATCCAGTATCGTTGTCTTCGTATCGCGTTAGGATGCATGCACTCGACTCATACGATGAGTCTAGAAGTGTTGGCGGGCATGTTGCCACTATCGGATCGGTTCTCGGAATTGTCCCTCAGGCTCCTCACCCGTTGCGAAGTTATGAACCCACTGGTAATCGAAAACTTTGAAAAGCTTCTTGAGCTGAACCCTCAAACTCGTTTTATGTCATTGTACTACGTGTACATAACACAGGATGTCAGCCCTTCACAGCACAATCCTCATCGTGTATGCTTCTCCGACTTCGGCAATTCAGTTAGTTTTGATTTATCTATGACGCGGGAGATTCGTGGGATCCCAGAACATCATCGTTCCATGATTGTTCCGTCATTATACACTGCAAAGTTTGGCCAAGTTGATTCCGCAAGATCGTTCTTCACAGATGGATCACTAATAGAGGCGTCCACTGGTGTTGGTATTTATAACGAACTTCATAGCGCCTCTCGAATGCTTCAAGCTCCTTGTTCCGTATATGTTGCTGAGCTGGCGGCAATACATTATACGATAGAAACCATCGCCTCACTTTCACCAGATCACTGCTTTATTTTTACGGATAGTCTAAGTTCTGTCGAGGCTATTCGCTCTATGAGGCCGGTAAAGCACTCCTCGTATTTTCTCTGAAAATACGAGAGCTTCTAAGATAAGACCTTTTGTCATCACCTTTGCATGGGTCCCATCTCATTGCTCGATACCGGGCAATGAGATGGCGGACTCAAGTGCTAAGGTGGGCGCTATGGAAGGCGATATTTACGATCGACAAATCGCCAACGATGAATTTTTCTTTATTTATCGTCAACAGTCGCTCGCCAGCTGGCAGAATAAATGGAGTGAAGGGAGTTTGGGACGATGGCTATATTCGATCATCCCTAAGGTGTCGAATAGTCCTTGGTTCAAAGGGTTGGACTTGGGTCGAGACTTCATTCGTGTGATGTCTCACCTCATGTCCTATTCGTTAAACTCTCACTTGTTCCGTGTTGGGTTGGGGGACAGCAATCTCTGTGAATGTGGACAACCTTGTCTACCAAGACGCAGATCACATCATTTGGTCTTGTGCTGAGCATCGTGGAGTCAGATCTGAGCTGTACGATTCCTCGAGGTAGACAACCTAATGTTCCAGTTCGGGATGTTTTGGCTAGACGCGTCCTGGAGTCTATGGAACTCATATATGTTTTCCTGAAGAATATTAACCTTAGATTGTAAGTTTGATTAACTTTGTGCGTAGTTTAAATTTTGTGTGTTTGTTTTTTTTTTAGTTTTTTTTTTGTTATAATTGTAAAATTATAGAGCTGATAACAAGTTGAATAGAACTAAGTTCATATTTTAGAAAAAGTGAAATATCCTCCTCCCTCTCCCCATCCATAAAATTGTAAATCTCCACTAACCTCGAGATGACCGCGAGTATTCGGTTCAATCCCTGTAACTCTAGATTTAAGATTAGGATTTAGTATGTATAACGAAAATGATAACTTGGCTCAGTAAAGCTTATTCAATTGCCTGTACAAATAAATCAATTCATTAAAAAAAATATAATGATATTAAAAAAGTGGTGTTTGGTATTGAAACACATTGATTGTACTTGTTTATTATGGTTTTTTTTTATGGATTGTAGATAAAGAGCGCAATATATTTTTATACTTTTGCTTGGAAATTTAGTTTTTTTTTACACAACATATCAAAAAATCAGTGTTTCTTTTTTGTTTTCGGGTTATATTTTTATGAAGTTATCAAGTTTTGATTTCTCGCTCAATACTCCTATGCGATTAGACTACCATCCGTCGTGATTATTTTACAGTCGCTATAAATCAAAGGAGACAATAATTTGTGATATGTAAAACATTTTTCAATAGCACTTTTATGAGCTGGTGAATGAAAATCATGCATGTTAGGAAGTGTTTCATCGTTTTTCATGAGATTTTTACACGTAGGCAGGGCTTCTGCCAGTCGTTTTTTCGAAGCAGTCAACAAAAGCTACATTCAATTTCATATTGTCCGTTATGTGCGGTACTTCGTATAAAAATCAAATCTCCACATTACACCTGCCTCCGATTCAAACTGACGAACGCGTAGTCTAGCGAACGGGCAAAAAAGGGCTTTCCTTGCTTCTCTTTCGTAAAAACCCCCTCGCTAGTGTAACATTCTCCTTGCCAATTTCAGCTGTGAATGATTGAAAAAAAACAGCAGATTGATAGCAATCACTTTGCTTCTCTGTGAATCTTCTAACTTGGGAAGTAAAATGTTGTTAATAAAAATAAAAAGCCGCTTTGAACAGGATTCGTACAATGAACGTAGGGATCAAAAAGCCCATTCTCTGACCACTTGTATATCAGTGCTAACGAAACTAAGAGGCAAAAGGAGTATAAAAACTACCCATGGAGTACGATTTGTACGTTGAAGCTTTCGAAAATTACGTAAAAATTCCATAAGAAACACTTACGAATTTTACCCATAAGAAATTAGTGTGAATTTCATTGATTTACCTTATGAAAAATAATGTTGAAAAAAATAATAAAAAGGAGCAGACTGGAACCGGAAAATGGATGTTGAGGTTAGGGAGCCCGTGTGTTGACCACTCGTCTTTCAACGCTTGGGAAAATGAAATGGTTAAAGGCGTATAAGAGCTAACTCATGTTACCCGAAAATCATTCGTAAGTCACGCTTATGAAATTCATATATGTAGTTCATAACTCAAGTCTTATGAAATGCTAAGATCTATTTGCCTCAGTGTATACACACTTAGAAATAATTAATTTTACACGTGACGGAATCCATCTTTGACATAAAGGATGAAACGTAAACAAACATGTCATGTAAAATTAAGGGCTCCGAGATTGAACAGTTCGTTACTCGACGAAAAGTACGTTTGATTGAACTGAATTTTGCGTCTGTTATGACTTAAATTTATGTCAAAATTGACGCTCGTATATGTCAGTCTCAGAGCACCTAAATTTACATTAATTTTTCTAAGGGTGCTGTCGCTCGTTCTGTAGTTTCATTATGCAGGAATATGAGAAATTGAATGTGTAAAAATCGACAAAAAAACGCTTTATGATAAAAAAAAACTCTTTTCAATTTTCAATAGGTCACAATTGAAATCTACACAAATGTCCAACTGTAGCAATGGTGATCAAAATTATCACTAATTGGCTGCAAAAAGCCCTTTCCCTAACACAGATTTCAAAATCAAATTCCGCCTTGCTGCCAGCCACATCACCCCCAAAGAACTTTGATAATGTACCCAGCAATCAAACGTTTGTGGTCAAATGCGTTACAGTATTGAAGTACATACAAATTCTCGCAACCTTGTCAATTAACCATAAACACTTCGAATTAAGGTAAGGTTTTCGCCAGGACGCTAGAAAAAAGCAAAACAAAAATTCAAATTTATATGATTGATCGCAAATATCCCACGATTTGAAAATTTTTGAAAGAAATTATTTGTTAAATAAACCAAAAATTCTATACGTTTTGCGCACAAAAATGCCTATTTTTTCATCAGAAAACCAGGCGTTTCCATGATGGGAAAAAATTATTTCCCTAACTCAGTTTCCGAATATTGATACTGAGCACGTAATCCTACGTCAAATGTACGGTCGTGTCTTGGATACAACCTCTTACATTGAGGAGCGGAGCGATGGGCAGCGTCTAGAATGAAGCTTCTTTAAAAATGTTCTTGAGAAGCTTCTTTAAGAATCTTGTTTTTAAGCTTTTATTAGACTCTTCTTTTTCGAGTTATTTCTTTATAATCATCTTTTAGATGATTTTGCTTAACG